GGTAGAAGATTGAAACAAGATGTCTTTCTCCTGGTACAAAAGTCAACCAGGGTGGGCCTCAGTGGTTCATGCCTGTAATCCTAGCTCCCCAGAAGGCTGAGCCTTGGGCGATAATGGTTGGAAGCCAACTTCCAGCAGAAAAATCTTTTAAGAGATTCTCCAATGAATCAGCAAAATGCTGGACTGGAAGCATGGCTCAAGTGGGAGAGCACCAGCCATAACAACAGGGAAACGTACCAATTTTCTGGATCGGCCTGCCAAAGCAGAGGAAGCCAATGCAAGAATTGACAAATGGGCTTTCATCAAAGTAACAAATGTTAACATGCAGTAAAAGAAGCCATCAATAGAGAGCAGAAACAGCCTACAGGATGAGGGGAAAACAATCTTTGGCCAGTTATTCATCTGAAAGAAGACTAATATCTAGAATCAATAAAAAAAACTTAAATAAACAATAAAAACTAGTCATCTAAGCTAGGCAGTAGCGGCTCACCCCTGTAATCCTAGCTACTTAGAAGGCTGAGATCTGAGGGTTGTGGTTCAAAACCAGCCCAGGCAGAAAAGTCCACAGGATTCTTATCTCCAATGAACCACCAAAAAGCTGGAAGTGGAGCTGTGGCTCAAGGGGTAGGGTACTAGCCTTGCGCAAAAAGAGCTCAGGGACAGGATCCAGACCCCAAGTTCAAGCTCCAAGTATCAGCATGAAAAATGAAAAATAAAAGCAAACATTTAAAATAACACCTTATCTCAGTCAGAATGGTTGTCCTCAAGAAAATCAAACTCACAAAAGACTAGCAAGGTTGCACTGGGAAAAAAAAAACGTAGCCTTTACATAAATGTTGGTTGGAATGGAAATTAGATCAGCTAGGTGGTTTTGTTCTATTTTGTTTTGTTCATTTCAAGACAAGGCCTTGATATGTAGCCCAGTCTGGTCTCACATTGGTCATCCTCTTACCTTCAGTCTCTCAAGGGCTGTGATTACAGGCGTGCACCACCATACACAGTTTAACCCAGCTATTATGGAAATCAATACAGAATTTCCTCTGAATGAAAACCTGAAAATACATTGGGTGCCGATGACTCATGCTTGTAATCTTATCACTCAAGAGGCTGAGATCTGAGGATCGCCGTTCAAAGCCAACAGAGGCAGGGAAATTCATGAGTCATTTTTTTTTTTGGGGGTTGGTCGTGGGTTTTGAACTCAGGACCTGGGCACTATCCTTGACTTTTTTTTTTGCTCAAGGCTAGGGCTCTACCACTTTGAGCCACAGCTCCATTTCCAGTTTTCTGGTGGTTCATTGGAGACAAAGGGTCTCTCATGGGACTTTTTCTACCCAGGCTGGCTTTGAACCACAATCCTCAGCTTTCAGCCTCCTGAGCAGCTAGGACTACAGGCGTGAGCCACCAGTGCCTGGCTTCTATGAGATTATTATCTTCAATTAGCTACTGAAAAGCTAAAAGTGAGGCTGTGGCTCAGGTGGTAGAGCCCTAGCCTAGAGTTTAAAAAAAAAGCCCAGGGACAATGTTTGGGTACTAGGTTTAAGCCCCAGGACTGGCACCACCACCACCACCAAAAACCTTAAAAATATCATTACCATATGATCTAACTATCTCATTCTTGGTCATATGTTAGAGAGATATGAAGTCAATTCACAAAAGAGATAAGTGCATAGCCATAACTATTGTGGTACCATTCCCAAGAGCGAAGCTATGGAATCAGCCTAGGGGTCATTCATGGTGAATGGAAAAGAAAAATACAGACTAGATACATAATGGAATATTATTCAGCCCGAAAGAAGAATGAAACGCTGTCATTTGTAGCAAAATGGGCTGGACTAGAAGACTTCACTTTAGGTGAAGGAAGTAAGATATGGAATGAGAAGGTTTTCTCTCTATACAGAAAGCACAAATAAACAAACAACAAGGAAAACAAAAAGAACTTAAAAGTAGAAAAGGGTTACTAAAAATCAGAAGAGTATCAGAAAGGGAAGAGGGAGATGGCATGGGGGACAGAATAGAACAGGTTTGGATATTATTCACGCATGATGTGTACATATGTGGAAATTCCACAGTGTGCCCTATTAAAATGTACAGTTAATAGGTGTTAATAATTATAGTCAAAGGAGGGTTCAGGCTGGGCACTGGGTGGCTCACATCTGTAATCCTAGCTACTCAGGGGGTTGAGATCTGATGATCAGGGGTTCAAGGTAAGCCTGGACAGGCTTTGAGTTCAAGCGCCAGTACTGGCACAGACACACTGACACACACACACAGACATACAGACACCCACACACTAACATTCTCCCATTTAGATTTTGGTCTAGGAAAGCTTGATGTGGAAAAGATTCTTATTATCACTGGATGTTAAGGGGGATGTAAATTGCCCCAGAACTTGAGTTCTGGTAGGGAGGTATTGGTAGGTCCAGAATCGACAATAACAGTGAAAATAGTATTAATGCAACTTGTAAAAAACTATGGCCTAGCTTTTGGTACAGGTACTGGGGTTTGAACTCAGGGCCTCTGGTTCTTACTTGACTTTTTCCATTCAAGGCTGGTGCTCTACCACTTGAGCCATGCCTCTACTTTCCAAAAATGGCGTTATTTACTCTTTTTTTTTTTTT